TTGATCTTAACTGGACGAAATTCACCACATGATTAAACCAAATCCTTCGTTTATCTTATGGAACAAATAAACCAAACAATGTGCAATTGTTGTTTGGCAGATTTGAAGTTTGTATGTCGATTGTGAATAGTTCGATAGCCTCGGTGGGATTCGAACACACACATGGGCGCCGCCTACGCTTCTGTACAGCGCACGCTCTACCAGCTGAGCACAAATCCCACCGAGGCTACTGAACTTTTCACAATCGACATACAAACAATGGCAACTTGGAAAACATGCATCTTTGATAGCGAATAGTAAGAAATGACCTAGGGGGAACCCATCAATGTGCAGTGTAAATGTGTGTGTCTGCGTAGGTAGGTGTCAGGGTTGGTCGGTCATGGGCACGGATCGGGAAGACAACAACCGAAAGATGAGTCGCTCTCGAGACCACATATAAACGAAAATGGATTACTCTAATCACGAAGACTGGTTGTGAACTGTCTACTTCTTTAAAAATATATTTTTTATTAATCTCATGTTTGCCCAAATTCCATTGCACTAAACGAACGAGATAATAACACCTGAGTGCTTTTCCCTCTTATTAAAGAGATGGGTGCAGGACGCGATTGGCCGTGCTGTGTCCGATGTCGTCCAAGAGCATTCAGCGGTTCGTATGGGCCATACATACTCGAGTTGTGTTCGTAGATGGATGTAGCCGTACACAATTTTGAACAATTTTCAGGTCACACCTGGTACGCGAACAGCCAACAGCTGAAATTGAACTGTATATTTGTCCTTTTATAATTATGTAATATATGAAGGACTAGACAAAATTCCCCAGAAGTACTTGAACGGTTTCGCGTTCTTTGTCACTTGTTAGGTTTTCGTATCGGGAAGTCTTCTGTCTGGTCATTCTTATAATTGAACTTGTACATTTGTATATTCAATAAATAAAAAATGAATTAAAACAACATTTATTTAAGTTACAAGGTTGAATTCATTGGAGTATCATTTGTTAACCGGATATAAGCTGAGCAAGAGAAATTGTATTGTATTGTGTGTGACTTTTGCAAGCACTGCAGCTCACATCTCAATTAAAACATCATACACGTTAATCGTCATAATGAACATAATAAACTGGGTGAAATGTTTTTACAGACCAGGGGACATTTCAAAATCCAAAGTTAACAGAAAGTTCAATTATTGTCCGCTCTTTGTGTATAAGTACACGAGTTGGGCACCGTAAAGGTGAATTGTGGTAAGCATCAATCGTAGATTAAATTCGAAGGAATTGGGAGCGTGTTGAATGACGAAAACGACAACGTGTAATGGGTGCAATGGGTGGTCAGGATCTGTGAAAATCCCCTCAGTAAATTTCACACAGGAAGTTACGTGATACTCGGAAAGCTCTAAAGCTAACTCTTTCACAGGAATAGAGGAGACACGGCTAATAATAGTTAGAACGCGGCCTGAGACTTTGAAATCCTGTTTGAGTAAGCCAGGAAAAATAACTGGGGAAGATTAGAGTAAGATGGGGAAGACACACTGATAAGCAAAAGTAGAAATAACTAACTGCAATGCGCGAAACTGCCTGAGCTTTCGAATTTGAAAAGATAAGCGCCGCGGTTTACCAATGCAGTTGTGTGATGTGGGCTGACCAATGAAGATCACCATCTATGGTTACACCAAGATATTTGACAGAGTTCAACCTAGATAAAGGATTGTTATTAATCACTGTGGGGTCTGTCGGATATGGAGAGCGAGGAAAACTATGTAAACACTCAACATATTTACTGGGGTTTTAGGTCACTCCCGAAAAGAAGGACTGAATTTGACCAAGAATAGAAGTATCGTTCACTAAAAACTGAGCAATCACTTTTGAAAGATTTATCGACCACCGACGATTGTCTGGAACATTTTAGTCGACTCATTGTAAAACAACTCGGAAAATCAAGGCAGAAGTTGACGACAGATATTTATTGAAATAATCAAACAGCTCCTCGGTGCTTCTCCCAATCAGACAAATTCGTCGAAGTTACTGTTGAATCCATTCTGACCCAAATAGACCGGTCGATCGTTCGTTATAAACACCCTTTATATACACAATCCATATCACTGCCCTGTCATTCATATTACCCTTGTGTTGTCAATTTCATCCTCCGCTGAATCCGTGTCTGTGACTGTTCTGCACGCCGTTTTTGCATACGCATGCACCATCAAGCATGTTTTCATCACTATGATGTATTCTACCTGATTGTCACCCATCTCCTAGATCCGTATCCATGATTGAATAATACTGACATCTGTTCACTCACACGCACACACACACACACGCACATGCTTTACGACGATAGGTTCCCCCAAGGTTACTACTCACTGTTGGCTTTCACGGATGCATGTGTTCCTGTTCGTTTGATTTACTTGTTTCATGAAAGAAATGGAGGGTTTGGTTTAACCATGTGGTGAATTTCGTCCTGTTAGGAACAAACCAGGAATGAATTGAAGAGCTAGAAAGCACTCGACAGCTGTTTTGACCTGGTTTGGTCTCACCAGCAGGGCAAATCCGTCGACCTAACTGGGGATCGAACCTGGGAACTCACAAGCAGAACGCAGGCATAGTACCTACTCGATCACCAGGCAGCTGACCAGACCGGTTTTCAATTTCCTCAGCCGTACCACCGACCTTAAGTAGTGAACTATTTGGGCTCCGGATTATGCCACAGTTCGAGGTTTGGACATGTTTTCACTATTGGAATCTGTATTTCAGTACCGCCTTTCAGAAGACACCCATTTGTAGAAAACACTATATTCTGGGTTCGTACTTTTCATTCTAAGCGGGTTGTTGAGACCTGTGAAGTCAGTATTCACAATTATCACTACAGGTTGATATCAATTGAGGCATCAACATCCCGGTTGTGGTACCGTATTTATACAACGTTGATCAAACGTCCGAGTAATAAGATAATCTTATGATAGGAATGGGTGTCTTGTTTTTGGCTGGTCCATCTTCCCTTGCATATCACGAAATGCTCTCATACGATCATACATCTCAAAAAGCCTCTGATGAGGTAGCCTTGCCCACTGTCTTCTCGTGGCGGAGGTGTTCTCCCTTCAAAGTGACAGGACGAAAAGTCGATATCCGGGGCTATAACCGGGTTGGTGAATCACAGGTAGTTTACCTATGGGAGTTTGTCAAACCTCTGATCCCAAACAAACCAAGAGGAGGTGTACGAACCACTCGGGCCCATACCTTCCTGGTTATGATAGTGACAACCGGTTCGATTGGGTCTGGAGGTGTATTGGGCACCTTGGATGTTTGACCCCATCTGCTCCGACGAACTCGACACCGGCCTCCAATGGATTGCGTTTTCCTTCACCACTCCGCTGCCTTACTAGTCAGGCTTTGGCTAACCGAGGGCTCCGGTTGTGAATCCCTGTGGTAACTCAGGCCTACGAGATGACGCCTACCCTGGAGCGGCCCGTCACAGTGTTTGGACACATGCGATCAATCAAATTTGAATGCTAACTTCAATAACACACGTACGGTTTTCGACTACACACCATAAGCAGATCGTGCCAGCCAATCCGATACAGTGCAGACGGAGGCAGAATCTTGCAAGCAGAGCGGCAATATGATTGGTGGAAGCCTAGATAACTAATAACCTTCTTTTGTACATATTAATTAATCGCCCTCATTTCTTCCAATAAACGAAATGCAACTTACTACCATTCCTGTGACCTTTTCCTTTCGCCTCGTTATCGTAAGACTATGCCCAACCGTCCCATTGTGGTCCAGTGCTTCTGAGTGCCAGTCCGTGATAGCTGATTATTGATTCGGGTCCTGTGATTCATACTGCGTGGTTAACGTTCCGAATTTCGTGCGTAATAGTACGACTACTACAATCATTACAATCCCTTCCTCCTCTCTTGAACAAGACTCACCTGCCTCAGCTTGGACAACCAGACCGTTTCCCGCCCACAAAAAGTCATTGAGATTTCTCTTTTTTAAACTAAAGTTTTTGCACTATGATTTGCTTGGCACAGTCCGGATTCAGACCCATGTGAAATCCGATGAAATACAAATAACGTGCGGTACTGAATTTT